GCCCCTCCCCAGAGAAACACAGCTCAAATATGGCCACAAATACTGAAAAAGCCACTGAAAATGGAGCAATTTAGACCACAAAAATCACAAAAAAGCTGTGTGATTTGGCGGGACTGATTTAGGCCTCTAAAGGTGGCTAAGCATTATGTGTGTAAGTCTCACCTTGATTTCACAGTGATATGACTTGATTACAATTCTTTAAGTGTGAAAGTGCATAACGTCCCAATTAACTGCAGTTTTGTTATATTAAATGTAGTATTCTGAGGGCTTTGCAGACAACACATGTTTCTTAACAGGCAAAAATCTTTTTTAAGCGAGGATGGCCTGTCACATGCAGCTGCTCCACACCCAGCAACAGGAGCTATTCGTCACCTTTAGAGTGTTCGTGACAAAGAAACATGTAAAACCAATACAAAACAAAGAAGGGATCAACTAGTTGTCTGACATTTTGCAAAACAAAAAAAGGGGATTTCTGAAATATATATTTCAGGAGGAAATTCTCCTGTGTGAAAAAACACACCTACAATAGGAATTGGTTCAAACTCAAGTATTTGGGTCAAATGTAAAAAAATAATAATAATAATAATAATAAAGATTATGCTAATTTAGATCTTAAATCTTTTGTATGTTACTACACTGTCAATATAAAATAAGAGTTGACTGACCTATCAGGCCAGAGTTTTTTAGGGAACACACTTCTGTCCATGTTGGATGTGTCTGGTTTTATTGATCATCCAAATAGAAAAATCCAAATATAAAAAACAACAACTGCATATTAGCTACCGTTCACTGTATCTTGCTTTTAATACATGTATTTCTTCAAGCTTAATATTTTTGTGCATTTTAAAACCTAATTCCCAAAAAGTCGGGACAGTATGTGAAATGATAATAAAACAGAAAGCACTGATTAGTAAATTGTGTTCTACCAAAAAAGTTGGGACAGGAGCATGTTTACCACACATCACCTTTCTTTTTCAGAGCACCTAATACTCATTTTGGGATTAATAACACCTAATGATCCAACTTTGAAAGTGGATTTTTTTTTGCCATGCTTTTGTTATACAAGCCTTCAGCTGTGCAACCATATGGGTATTTTACACATTTTCAATGGGAGACAGTTCTGGACTGCAGGAAGGTCAGTCTATCACAAGCACTCTCCGACATAATTCTTGGATGTTCCTGAAAAAGACGTCATCTAGAAGGCAGCATATGTTGCACCCAAAATGTGTTCAGCATTTATGGTGCTTTCACAGATGTGTTACTCACTAATACAGCCAAACCCCCCCGACTGATGCAAGCTTGTTAACTTTACACTGGTAATAATCTGGATGGTCCTTCTCTTCTCTGGCCTGGAGAACACAACATCATTTACTTCCATAAATGATCTGAGAGGTTGACTCATCCGATCACAATACACGTTTCTACTGTGTATCAGTCCATTTATGATGAGCCAGAGAAGTTGTTTCTGGATGCTGTTGATATATGGCTTCTGCAGTGCATAGTACAGTCTTAACTTCAATTTTTGGATGCAGCAACAAGCTGTGTTTATTGACATTGTTTTCCATTACAGAACCTGTGGGTTTCTAATGCAACGCTGTCTGAGGAGTCAAAAGTCATTTGATTGTGGTTTTTGGCTTTTTCTTTTTATGCACAGATATTGTTCCAAGTTCTCTACATCAGTTGATGATATTATGAAGACCAAAAATTCTTGCAATCTCTTTCTAAGGAACATTATTTTTACACCGTTGGATTTATTGCTGATGTATTTTTGGTGGTAAGTCATAGGCATATGGACTCATATGGAAATACGTACATGAAACGACATTTAGCACAATTGTAGCCAGGCCAAAAGAAGCCACTGCATGCTTACACATATGAAGATTTACCTACATCCTGCTCTGTTCTGTCTAAAATGGTTTTATTAAAAGAAAACTTTCCATTCTATTATTTGAGTCCTTTTTCCAGGGTCCAAGGATGAAAATTGTGATGCAAAAAAAAAAGGAAAAATATTCATATGTGGTGAAAATGTGCCAGCAGGAGCAGGAGCTGACATAATAACACATCACGTCAAAACCCCTATGAGCACTCACTAGCCCCTAATAATTACTGAATACATGGCTAATAATAGGCAATCTCAGCTCTGTGTGCCGAGCAGGATTACAGCATCACTTTTCCCTGAGTATTTCCATTCCACAAAGGGGCACAGTTTAGCTGCCATTCCTATGAATCATTTAAAACCCTGCAGCCATGTTGAAAAAGAACTGGAAATGATCTTGTGCAAATGATAGACTATGATAGATAAATTTGATACAATCGCTGAGAATATCAGAACACAGGTATTGGTTTGTGAGAATGATACATATTTGTCAGAATACCAATCAGACACATGGATTAAGTCCATGAACATTGACAGTTATTTAGCCCTATTATTCAGTCAAATTTAATCATCTTTGACAGAACATTCCACTAATATTCCATCATGTTCTTTAAGAAGTAACAAGCTATATAACGTAACATCTAAATTTGTGGTAGAAGAAATAATTAAACATACAGGGTGATTCAAAAAGATTAATCCAATTTCAAAATGATTTATTTCACTTGTAAATCATTACAGATCAATGCAGTAAACTGTAAATGGTTTAAATGAGCATAAAGTTTATTATGTAATTGTACAAGGTCTCAGTATGAACCTCCTCCAGCGGTACAGACAACATCAACACCATAGTCAAACTCATCCCATACCGGATTGAGCATGTCGGGTGTTGCTGCACTCACGGCTCTTTCAGTGCGATTTCGGAGATCATCCAGTGTTGTGGAACCAACGACGAACGCTCTGAGCTGTTGGAGCTTCACTGATGATGAAAATCACACTGCACAGTTATGACGGATTCACTATTATTGAAGTGGAGAACGCAGAACGCTTTCTGCTCAGGGGTCTCCATCTCCTCTCAGACTGAAGGGAGCCATCTTCCACTGACAGTCAGAAACTCTACGACCCCCTCTTTCAATTAGTATGTGATTGGTTCCTAGGCGCCTCACGGTTGTAAAAATATGGTGCTTCGAAATTGGATGAATCTTTTTGAATCACTCTGTACTAACACAGCGAAAAGCAGCTCACCTGGTGAACTTGAAATGATGCAGTCCAACAGATCTAACCACTTCAATTCAGGTGGTAATATATGTGACTTAATGAAAAACTTTGACAGATATCTGACTATTGCACTGCCTTTTGGTCTTTAAAGTGGAAACTTAAGCAGTAGCACATCATTAAACCTCCCGAACTATAATTTCAAATGGTGAACTGCTTCACAGTGATAGTTATGCAAAAAATGGCATATTTAAGTTTGTTACCCATAAAAGATGTTAACTTACTTACACTTAGAAAAGAAATTTGACTGGAGGTGATGAAATTCTTACATATATTTTCTTTTAACACACACGTGCATATACATATATAGGGCGGCACGGTGGCGCAGTGGGTAGCGTTGCCGCCTCACAACAAGAAGGGCCTGGGTACGATTCCCGGCCGGGTGACCAGGGTCCTTTCTGTGTGGAGTTTGCCTGTTCTCCCCGTGTCTGCGTGGGTTTCCTCCGGGTACTCCGGTTTCCTCCCACAGTCCAAAAACATGCAGTCAGGCTGATTGGACATGCTAAATTGCCCCTAGGTGTGAGTGTGTATGTCTGTCTGTCTGCCCTGCAATGGACTGGCGACCTGTCCAGGGTGTATCCTGCCTTCCGCCCAATGACAGCTGGGATAGACTCCAGCACCCCACCGCGACCCAGAAGGATAAGCTTGGACTTCAGACTAAAATAATTTTGCTTTGACTAAACCTATACCTTAACTATGTTTATTTTATTAAAATAAATGACTGAACATCTTATTTTGTCACTACCAATACAAAAATAACACCTCCAAAACTGCTAATTTTAGCTAATTAGCTAATTAATTTACCTCATATTGAGCATAACTCTGGTACACGCCAGGACACAACCAGCACTGCTGTGTCTGATCCACTCAGACCAACACAACACACACTAACACACCACCACCACGTCAGTGTTACTGCAGTGCTGAGAATGATCCACCACCCAAATAGTACCTGCTCTGAGAGGGTCCATGGGAGTCCTGACCACTGAAGAACAGGGTAAAAGGGGGCTAACAAAGTATGCAGAGAAACAGATGGACTACAGTCTGTAACTGTAGAACTACAAAGTGCACCTATATAGTAAGTGGAGCTGATAAAATGGACAATGAGCGTAGAAACAAGGAGGTGGTCATAATGTTATGCCTGAGTGGTGTATCTATATATAAACTTGCTGGCTGTTGACTTATAACATCATTTAGTCTGCTGCCATCACCACAGAGAGAAAGTCCCAAATTGTCCCTTCATTGTGAAATCAGTAAAACTACTTTGCACATTGTATTCTAGCTCCGTACATTCACTGCACGTCTCAACGTATTCAGAATTTACTACATTGATATTCCGACTGCACTCTCAATCAGTAAACAACCACAGTGTGTTCTGCCGCCCTGAGAATGAATACACTAACACAGCCTCTGGGAGTGCTGAAAAGATGCTTACGTGGAATATCAAAGCAGACGGTAAACGCAGCAGCACTGCTTTTCTTGTTGTTGATATGCGACAAAAAGAAAACTGTTTTGAGAGGAATATTGATTCTAATTTGGTTTGTTTGGTAAAAACCCATTTACCTTTCAGCCACATGCAAAGCAAAATGAATTTGCATCACTGATATATCAACAATTTTCACACATCAGCATCATCGTTTGAAAATGCCAGCTGTTGTTTTCAGTGTGTGAACAATGGACCAAAAGAAAGGACCAAAAGAAACGGTCACCTGTTCTAAAGTATGAGGTTTTCTTTACGAGAGCGACGTAATGCTCGGCTGCTTTCAGCTTCTTTTCAGAAACAACTAAAAAGACCAATCTGGAAAGTCATTTGAACCAGCTGGAGTAAATGGACTTCACCCTGGACACTTACCAATGATGAGGATGTACAAGGCTGCCACTATGTCTCCTTCTTTGGACAGCTTGGAGGCGAAAGGGTCCCCGCGGAGGAGATAAGGGGGGATGTAGCCTGTGTGCACTGAAGTCTCGTTCTCCATAAGGGATCTGGAGTGTGGTCAGCTTCCTGTGGAACAAACAGTTGAAAGTTTAAAATGTTTCAGAGATTAAAAAGTGGTTCAGAGCTCCACTGTCAACATGTTGAGGGTTTTGAGGGTCAGTAGGAGTGTTGGTGAAATTCAAAAAAGTTACCAGACTGACTAAATTTTTTAGTTTATTATATTTCAAATAGTCAACAGAACTTAAGATGCAGATTCTTTATCTGTTAACTTACAATCAGAAGTTCAATTAACTCAAAATTTTAAGGCAGCCCAGTAACTAACTTTGCAGTGCAAACCTGTGACTGTGCACTGTGGAGATCTGACAAATACATCGTTCAGAATGGACATTATAATTAATTGCAATTGGACTGTTTGAGCACCAAAGTCTGCAAATGATCAGCACTAAACAACAGCTCACTCCAGAACTCCTCCGGCCTCCCAGCTCTAGTTTTGTTAGTAAGTTATGCAGCGACATGATTACAGTCATCATTTTTCTTCATCAGAATACAGAAATATTCTTTATCAATGCACTCTGTGAGTTGAGTATAGGTAGACCTTATTCTATAAACATAGTTTGGAATAGTTGGAGTGGTTTCCACTGAGAGAACCGCAAAAGTAAGAGAGAAAAAAATCCCCTATGCTGCCTCCTAATAAAATGACTTGTTTGTTGTGATGCTCTGATCATGATTTTTTTAATGGCCGATTCAGATTTTTTTACTGCCGAACTGTTCAATGCCTTTTTTGTTTGTGTGTTTTTTTTTGTAAGCCTTTTATTTTTAACCCAAAGTAAATAAACACGTGAAACACATTCACAGAACGTTCTACAACCCGATTACCAAATGATATAATGGTGCATATTTTGGGTCAAAATATCAGTTTTATTCATGTTCCAAACTTGATTCAATCTTCAAATGCATAAAATACATTACTGGATTACATAATTAATTTCAATTGTAACTGCACTGTGTACATGTTAAAGCACAAAATTATGAAATAAATACAGTTGTTGATCAGTCATTAAGGTCATTTATATGTCCTTGAATAGACACTGACCAAATGACCTAAGGTAAAGCTATTTTTCAAAGCCAAACAAGTCTACAAGGACAAGAGTGTGGGAAACCTGATAGAGGTGTATCTGGATTTACAGAAAAGCAAAGTAAACATCATCTTTCCTCTTTTTCTGCATGTCCTGAATGTAGGCTTTATTGAGTGTTTATTCTAAGTCTTTTGTAACAAAAATTCATGTTAAATCAAATATGCTAGAAGTTGTCTGCCAAGGCTAATGTAACAGAACATGCTGTTTTTGCCATTTGTACTGAAAAACAGTACAAAGGTTTTTACCACAACATCTCACCACAGCACAGGACATGCTGTGGTGTTCTGAAACTCTGGACAGCCAAAAGTGCCAGTAGTTGCAGAAAAACCCCCATGCAATATTATTTAACAGGCCAAACCGCCAATTTAACCCTTGTGTGGTTGTTGTTGGTACTCAGTGATCTGGTGGACCCACCGCATTATTGTTTTTAAAATCAACACAGCCATAACAATTTATGTAAAAATACCAGTTTAAAATATCACGAGTGTCCAGTGTAGGGTTCTCCTTTAGCAGCTGTAGCCAGTCAGCAGCCTGTCCATGTTGTCCACCCTCACACACACACACACACACACTAACAGCAGGCCATGTAGGAGGAGAACAGAGTGAAGGACATAGCACCTCCACACTTTTACTCCCCGCAGGTTCACCCAACACCACATGTGTAATATAAATGTGTGGGGGGTGAACAGAGTGAAGACACTGAAACTGAGCAAAGGCCAAGAGTCTGAGGTTGAAATAATAATAAATCACATCATTTTTTTCTTTTGATAAACACTGAAAATGGGTCCCAGAGACCTGAACACCACACAAGGGTTGAATTCTGAAATGAAAAGTCAGTTGCTACATCAAAAATAAGAAGTTATTGCATATTTAGCGCAATGAGTCATTCATAATGACGCTACAACATTTTGGTGAAGGTATAGCAGCACTTATTTGGCTCAAGGTATTTACATCATAAAACCGCAACACAGATCTACTAAAATAAAAAATATTAATAAACTGGCTGTTTGCGCTTGTTTTTACAGCTTGACCGATTCTGATTCCCACTCGATTGTATTATGCTTCACTTTGTGATACTTACGTATCGAAAATTGATCACATACACATACATACATCATCTAAACCGCTTATCCTTCTGGGTCGCGGTGGGGTGCTGGAGCCTATCCCAGCTGTCATTGGGCGGAAGGCCAATGGACAGGTCGCCAGTCCATCGCAGGGCAGACAGACAGACATACACATTCACACCTAGGGGCAATTTAGCATGTCCAGTTGGCCTGACTGCATGTCTTTGGACTGTGGGAGGAAACCAGAGTACCCGGAGGAAACCCATGCAGACACGGGGAGAACATGCAAACTCCACACAGAAAGGACCCTGGTCGCCCGGCCAGGAATCGAACCCAGGCCCTTCTTGCTGTGAGGCGACAGCGCTACCCACTGCGCCACCGTGCCGCCCAAATTGATCACATTGTCTCACAAAAGCTAAAGTATCAGGTTCGAGCAAAGAGGTTATGATATGAACACTGCTGAACAATATCATGGAACAGTCTGAGGGTGCAAGTATTGTGGATGATGCATAAAATCTTATGCAACTTTGTGAAACTGAAGGCTTCATTAATGGCTCCACTTTATCATTTAGTCATTTCAGATGGTCGAGAAAACTACAAAGCAACAACACACCAACAAAACAGGCCCGTATTCAACCATCCATTCATTAAAAATAGTTGGCACTGGTGTAGATGCTCTGCAGGATCTCGAGCTCTTTCCCTCAGCCATTTTCTAAATCACTCGCACTCATGCATGTGAAGCCATCTGTTGGCAGTGACCTCAATAATATTTTATTGAGAACAGCTACTGCCAGAAGCTAAGCCGTCAGGCAAAGCAATCAAGAACCTGCCATTAAAAAGAGCACAAGGATTAGTGCAACATCTCAAATAATAACCATCTAGACGCCAAGCAATGAATATTTCACTGTTTGTTGCACATTGAAATTCAAGGACAGCATCAAAAAAATCACTGATGCAACACCGACAGCAACTGGGTTTTTTCTCAGGTATTCTTCAGTGTAACTCAACTGTCACTAATGCAGCTCAAGAGATGTTTAATTGACAGATGATTCTGCATCACAACACAAACTCCGTTCTTTTATAAACACCACTTTCTTCTAAGACCCAATGAGGAACAGATCAGCCAGATGATGTTGGACCATTCCAAACATTGAGTTTGGAATGTTGGCCCTAATGAATTCAGACCTCTCCCAAGATAGGATTAAAAAAGGACGAGGAAAAGGTCACTGCACTGTAATCCTTCCATATCTCATCTATTTCAACTCTCGAAAGGCTTGCAAATTAGTCAGAGATGTGAATGAGGTGTTCTGGATGGGGAATTCTTGCATTTCACGTGACGTCACGCTGTATAGTCGCTGCTATTTTGAGGACTGAATCGGGGAGTGACTGAGCTGCACGAATCCTTCAGTTTGCTGTGTTTTGTGAACGATTCACCTGTAAGACGCGACAGAAGCCGAGAGACACAGAGACCTTTAATTCAATGTTTTCACTCCAGGCTTGGAGCCGCTGCACTGTATAGTTTAGTGTTTCTCTCTGCTGTTCACCTCGTTCAGCTCAAGAAGGGATTAATTAGCTGATAATATCAGGGAAACCACAGGTATGCAGTGCAGGGGTTTCAGGACTGGAGCTGAACTCTGAACTAACTGCACTAGCAAACTTACAGAATCACGTCTGTCGAAACACGACGTCGTTTTCAGACCCACGACATTCAGTCTGATATTTAACGTTTATGTTTCTCCATTCAAACGTCATTTAAATCAGAAACAGAGAGTAAAGTTATACCGTCTGTCTGCAGCTCCGTTAGGGGGACGACTGTTCATCTCTCGGCTGTTAACATCAGCTAAAGTTATCTAAAGGCCAGCATTGATCACATCTGTGTTAATTAGCTGATGTCGTTACCCTCCTATGATCACAGAGTTCTTTCTTCTCTTTATGCAACACCATGGGATCCTTTACCCACCCTGACGTGAAGAGCCGGTGGGCTTCTGTGCTTTAAAATGCTTTGAGAGACCCTCCAGAATAGAGAGAGGGCTGAGTATGAGATAAATATAAATGTCAGGAAAACACAAATTTGGTAGCTTTCCACCAGTTTAAGTGGGACCAGGAGTTCAGGGGAAACTGTATAAAGATCTCGACTTTGTCGAGGAAACGTTTTTTCTCTTCCAAAGTAAGAAGAGTAATTTTAGCCATCTTTCACCTCTGGTTATGTTTGTGAGAAGCAGCGAAGCCAGAAATTCGGTCTCAAATATGGCGGCCACAACAGAGAAATCACGTGACTAAAACCTGAGGATAGTTGAAACTGTGCAGGCCAGTGCAGTATTTATTATTGTGTTATGCTGTATTCTGTATCTCTTTCAGCTTCATTGCTTTCATGTTTTCATACATCATTACTCTCTCACTACAGTACCCAGCATGCATTTTGCAAATACATCATATAAGCATTGGGAATCACTGTAGTGTCAACCAATGCAAGCCCAGCCACTGATCTACAGGCTAATAAAAAAAACAACCACGCTAGCTTTAGTGTGACTCTTACTTTGGTCATTGAACAAAATCATAAACAGTTATTCTATCTTTATTCAACACAGAATGGAAACTAAAGACAAGTTTTTCCACCAGGGAAAAAAAGCCAAACTGAGATGTCTACACTCAAAGGTACTAAACTGTCACTGGCTTGGTTCCCCTCTTGTCACTGTGGTGGTTCCCTCAAGGCTCCATCTCAGTACCTTTAGTCAGGGAACATAACTGAACCATAATCCACTGAAATGATATGTTCTAAGCTGTACTGACTCCACACACCCCGTCTCGCCTCCAGGCTTTTATTTTACTGTTCTGTTTAAAACATTCGGTTATGAAAAGGTACAAA